GCATCAAACGTGAGTACAGTTAATTTTTCTATTATGGTATAATCATGTCCTTTGTTTTCCATGATTTTCAAGACATCTTGTAGAATGCCGGGTGGAACATTAAAGACTGCACACCAATTTTGTAAAGTTGCCACACATGGCAGTGGCATTTTTTTTACTTCTCTCAAATATCGATAAGTCTTTGCGCTTAATGAATGCAAAGCGATGGCAGATGTAATATCTTCGAATGACCAGTTTATTCGAATATCATTGGGTGATATTAATTTTTTTATTTGTCCAGGCGTGAACACTTTGCGCAAGACATCAACAGCTATGTTTTCTGCTTCCTTTTGTTGATTTGCTATCATTTGTGCAATGGTATTAGATTTTTGCTCCACAGTTTGTTGCAATTTCTTTTCATTTGTGCTTTTTATTATAGTTTTATCTTCAGATATATCTTTCCGTTTTTTTCTAATGTTAATAATTTTGTAGGGATAGAACCTTTTTTCAGCCTCTGTATTTGTTTGGCAGGTACATTCTTTGATCTCGGCTTTGTCCATTCCAATTCAAAGCATTCTACTTCGAAATGGAGATTACATGCGTATGCTAAAAATTATATTTTATATAATTCTTAATCTGGTCAAATATCATACATAATAATATTGTATTTCAAATACTATGTAATATAAATGAATATAATATTACATCAACTTACCAGAATCAATTTTTATGTTTGAATTATTTTCTTGAGTAGCATCTAGCCATTGCTGATGAATGTCAGTCTCCTTGGGGAATCTGAAGAATTTCAAACCTTTTGTGCTTTTGTGGTCTGTGCGGCTTGCACAATTTTTTATGCAGCACGTCGGCATAATTTCTGTAGGCACAGAAGACTTGTATAACACATAAATAAAAAAGAAAAAGTTATTAAATTAAGTTCTTTTCATACAAGATACTTACAGTGTCTTTTTACTGTCCTTTCACAATGTTCTTTATTGTCTTTTTGCAATATCTTTTTACTATCTTTTTGTATGTCTTTACTGTCCTGTCAGTTCCTATTTCACTTCACTCTACAAGAACAATTTTACACAACACAACACTACAAAACACAACACTACACTACACTACACTATTCTTCACAATAAATTTCGCTTCGCTTCACTTTATTTTGCTAACTGTTTATTTCACGCTTTGTAGCTCGAGAATAACAACTAACAACAGCTGATAGCAGCCATGATGCTTTTCAGCATTTGTGACCAACTCCTGATTGGTCATAGAGCGTCCATTACTTTGGACGAGTGCGCATCCACGGGAATGTTACACCTGGTATTATTACATCATGATACTGCGTATATACTCAGAATCTACCTGTGTTGTATGGGACTAGTATGTCCACTCTCTGTCGAACCTTTGATCTTTTCGATTTCGATCACGTGGTATTCCTTCATTACTTTGATGTGTAAAATCTTTTTACACTGTCACACTACCACATATACAACATTCGTCTCATTGGCCACACCAAGATAATGGGGGACGCGCAGAAAGTATCGGCGCAAAACGAAACAAATGACTGAGTAGGCAACAAAGCAGTTAGTTCTTTTATTCAACTATTTCTATATGTTCATATGATCATTACTATCATACATAAATCCGGCAAGGCTTGTCGATCTTGTGACGGCAAGTTGTGTCACAATGTGTCAGGCAAACCATGCTGTTCACGTGCACTTCATATACCGACTCAATTGTTGCAAATATGCCGACACGTCTATGAGCAGACGTAAATGCGTTATGCTGACATAATGCAGACATTTTGCTATCTGGGAATGCATTTGATGAATAGATATGCATATATGGTTGTATTACGAATTCCTTTAAACCGGTCATCGTGTCTGAGAATGACTGCTAAAACGTTGGTTAACTGCTAACCGAAGGTTAATTTATTCTGTTTTTTTTAAATAATAAGATAGAAAAAGATAGGGAGTTGACTGAACTCCGGTTAACCAACGTTTGTGAAACTAGCCCTTAGTAATTAAGCTAATTAATAGTTAACTTACCAACAAGGAGGAACAACTTGCTCTTAACGTACTATATACAAATTTCTAGAAAATTTACCTGATTTAGCTCTTGAGTTCGTTTATTTATATATAGTTCGTGTATTATGCATGCAAGTGGTTAGCTCATGTATAATTTTGCGCTTAAATATCAAATAATTTATGTACAAAAATGGCTCCACAGTGCAGCGCAAGTAAAATCCTATCTCAGTGTGTCGTTATAGTTAGCTTTTTACGCGCAAAATATTTTCTGGTATGTCTGTGAACAAATAGTGCCGATATCTACACGTGACATTTACGAAACGCAATAATGCAAAGCGCAAAAAAACGAGATAATTCTGCACTGTAGTCTATTAAGTGTGCAATAATATATACGTCATGTCTAAAAATATGTTATAAAAAAACATATTTTAATAAAATAATATTTTATTGCTAAGTAATGACACGAGATAAGCACATGTTGTTGGAGAAATTGCGCCATATCCATGCAATATCTGCGAAAAATAATAGAGCAAAGCGCAATAAAAAAAGGTATGTGCGTGCATTTATTATCAAAACTACTAATAACGTTTTGAAACAAGCTCATATAATAACACAATACCTAGCAATACACAACGTTACGTTGGTATATATATGCACATCGAACGTTTAAGGGGGTAGTACACTCTGGCGGCCGAAAATGAGGGTCAATTTCAAGATTTATTTGTGACAAAGTGGTAGGCCAATCAGGTTCATGGTGTATACGATATTGAAGTACATGTTTAGGTGCATTTACAGTATTTTTTATTTGGAAAAATTTTAAGAAATGTAGGAGTTATGAGTCATCTCGCAGAGCCCTCGCGCGCGCGCGCTCGACTACGGTGTACATAGTAGCTCCTGTACGGCGTACAAGAAATAAAAAACGCAAAAAGGGTATTAAATTTAAATGTATTCCCCACAAGTTGACGTTCGAAAATTGTAAAAATGTTAAAAATTGTGAAAGTTATAGCACTTAACAAAAAGAAGTTCATTTTGTGCCGAAAAAACCAACGGTTTTTTAATTGTTATTAACACACGGTTCATCGGGGGACAAAAAACTCTACGTCAACTTGAGCATTGTGCTGTTATATAGATGTAAGCCAAAGGCCAAGACAGCCGGAATAAAAGTTCGGAATCATGTACACCGTTTTAAAAAAAAGCGTTTTGAGATAAACGCGTTTAAAGTTTTGGCAACTGTTTTCTATGAGATAAAGTGATAATTATTTCATCATAGTATTATTCTGCTGTTCCTGCACCATATTGCAGCCCTTCTGCATCGGCTAAAACGTCCTCTGCAGCCAATCTCTCAAGCCTACGAGCAGATCTTGCCTCTCGCGTGCTTTCCTGCGCTCGAAGATCGGCAGCATTGACGCGATGTTGATCAGCATACATGCACCACTGATGTGCTTTGTCGCCAATTTTTAAATTCAACGTCTGCATAACATTTAGATATGCCATTGCTCCCTCGTTGAATGTACTGCAGGCAATATCTGCTGCTATTTCGACGACCTCAGCACCCTCGGATGATATTTTTGGCGCGATTTTCCATATGACGGAGTTTACACTTTCATTACAATTTTGATTGTAATTTGACAGAATATACACATAGAAATATACCATAGAATATACAATACGAACGAGAGAAGGGTCTGCAGCAGGTATAGTTCTCGTAAATATCGAGCGGCGGCGTTTCAGACCGGTTTAGCGGCCGACACTACTTCGCTCCAATGGCTATAACTTCGTCAATTTTTGGAATTTTGCAATCGGCAAGGGCTCAAAATACGCGTAAAGAATAACACTTTCAAAATATGCAATAAAAAAAAATCGATTTTTTCGAAATTTCCAGAGTGTACTACCCCCTTAAACTCGCACAACATAGTTTACCCAGATGATAGAGAAACGTAAAAAGTCTTTGTACGTAAACTGCTGTAATCGCAATAAATCGTGAAACATACGGTAAGAACTGATCCACGTTACGTATTTTTAAACTGTAAAGCTACCATTTTTTTAAATATTTGATTAAGTTACAGTGTGTTAAAATAAGACTTAGATCAGATATTATTTTACCACTTATATTTGAAAGTTCTCGTAGATGATATATCCCAAATATTTTAAGGATTTCACATTCTTGATATCTCCTTTGAAACATTGATGAATTTATTTTTATTTTTATTATTTAATTTGTATTTAAATAATTGTTTATTATTTAACTTTTTCTCAAAATAAGATTTTTAAAGTTATATAGTCAAGGAAGAAATAGTATGATTAAAAAATGAAAAAAGATAAATATGAGTTTACAATAATAGTATATAGTAAAGAAGTAAAGGCTGATATGGAGGCAGTGTTCCTTAATAATTCATGCCGTAACTGATAAAGAAAAATATATCTTATTTATCACATTGCTTATTCTGTAATATGTAAAATCCGATTTCAGGAAATATAGATTTCTTTTATTTGATATAAAATCAGATATCATATCTCAGATTAAACAATAATGATTTTTTAGAATCTGGAAAACATCTCTCAGACATCCAAGTGATATCAGAATCGTTATTTGTATGAGATATTGTAATATTTAAATATCTTCCAGATATCTTTGTGATATTTTTGCTGTGTGGGTAATACAACAACTCTGTACACCACAATGCTCTCAGTGGTTTACGCCTCAGCTATTATGTGTGGACAGTATACTGTGTGGACAGTAACGCCACTTGTCGAGAGAGTTCGATCTGACACGTTCAAAATACATTTTTATAAACGTCTGAATACGAGTCTTTGGTTGAGAAAGACAATTACTTTTTCGAGAAAGAGCGACGACCTAGCAAATTTGTCAGCACAGTTGATTTCCAGAAATTTTATGAACATTACTTAAGTACATATTATATGTCAATTCGGGCGTAAACCATGCATGTTCAAAAACGGTTGAACGAGAATTCAGAGCGTTATAAGATTTCAACGTGACAGATAAGCACAAATAATGTCTTCGTTTATTCCTGGGATTGAAATAAAAATCGATAATTTCAAACAAAAATTTTTTTGTCAAATAAGAAGAATTATTTAAAGCTATACTTGTTGCGTTCTTTACAAAACTGTAAAAGATATTGAAAAAATCTATCGCTTGTTGTATACTCTTTTCAAAAATGCCATCTCCTTGCGTAGATCGACTATACAGTCGACGAACGTAAAAACACGAATTGGTTTTATCTTTGCAGATAGAAACTCATATCTTCTTCGGTAAGATGCCTGCTCAATTTGAATCTGTCAACAGTTCCGCGACCCGTGAATCCACGCTTGAAAATGGGATACCGTATTCCATCGATGGTGATGTCGTCATCACGGGCATATCAGGTAATTGTCGATCGCGAATATATAACTGTATCGTGAGAACAAAATATATTGAAAAATAAACGTTTGTTTCAGGCCGCCTGCCTAGATCATCTAATATTGAGGAATTTAAAGAGAATCTCATGAAAGGAATAGACATGGTCTCTGATGACGAATGTCGTTGGTCAGCAAATATGCTCGAGTTATTATCCAAATATGGCAAAATCAAGGACCTCAGTAGCTTTGACGCCTCATTTTTCGGAGTACCTCCCAAGCTGGCACATATAATGGACCCACAGGCACGCATGCTATTAGAAGTTACGTACGAGGCGATAGTTGATGCTGGTGTCAATCCCATGACTGTGAGAGGATCACGTACCGGAGTGTACATCGGTGTTAGTTATACGGAAACGGAAGGGTTTGCGATGAAAAATCTAGACGCCACAAATGGTGTGTACCTCACGGAAAGCAATACCGAATATTTCTTTAGGCAATTATTTTCATAGTTAATTGCTTAGACAGCCTATAGAGAACAGATTTCAGAAAACTCTGTTTCCCAATTTTGTCGTCAGAAAGACTTGTAATTTTATACAGACTCTGATATATCACATGATGTGGGCAGAACATCAACAGATACATATACAGAGTGTCAAATTCGTTAGAGATCATTCAAAAAATTATGATAGATTGGATCAAACTGAGAAGAAAAGTTATATATCATTTTACAAAATCTGTAATTATTATCGCGTAATTAAGAAAAACGTCTGAGCCAATAAGTGCACGGAGGAGAGAAAGACCGGACTCGGCAGACATGCAAAATGGTATTTCTTCTCAGTTTGACCCAATCTACTATAATCTTTGGAATGGTTCAAAACAAATCCGACACCCTGTATAATGAAGCTTGATAACATGTTTAGACAGCAGATTGGCGGCAGACATTCAGCAGATCCTGCTCACGCAACATGGCGATAGATTGCAGCCGAAATCGAGCAGAATTTGTTGACACAAGTTGTCGGTAGATTGGTAACAAAATGGAGCAAACTCTGTCGTTTAGTAGCGTAACGTTCCCTCTACCTGGACACGCGGCATGACACTTTCTCGTAAAAAGAACACCGCACGCTGTATTATAAATTAACACATCCACGTGAGATTTTGGTTATCTTTTGGAAGTGCTAAAATGAACTGTCTTGCACTCTTGTCTATCGAGTGCGTAGAAATCTTAAAGGACTACTTACTTATTTTCATCTGTGTAATGAAAAGAACAAAAACGGTAAAAATATAAATTAAACGACAAATCCTACTCAGTTTTTACCATCAATCAAACTGCCGCGCAGATCCTGCTCGGTTCCTGACGACAATCTGCAGTTGTCCGAGCATGTCAGTAAAGTCTTGCGGCAGAACGCAGGCTGAATGCGGACGCAGATTATGCCAATTTGCAGAAATGTTTCGATGAAATCTGTTGCCAGTCTACCAAAAATCTGCTATCATTTTGTTTACGGGATGGTGTGTACTATAATCGCAAAATCCAACGATCTTATCTAAAAATCAGAAAATGACTTTAATAGTATATTTTACCTTCGTTTTACGTGCGAACAATCATTCGTCTTTTTGCTATTCATCACACAGATCTGTTATAGTGTGAAAGAAGTTATACGATATTTACTGACAATGAGAATAAATCGAGAAACTTGCATCTGCTTGCAGGATATGAAGTGTTCGGAACTTCGAGATGTATGTTCGCCAACAGAGTTTCCTATTGTTTTGACTTTAAAGGACCTAGCTGCTCGGTAGACGCTGCTTGTTCCTCGTCCTACTACGGCATGCATCAGGCAGTCACCGCAATGCGCATGGGTGAGTGCGATGCTGCGATTGTCGGTGCAGTGAATCTTGTATTAGCACCACACAGATCAATGCAATATTACAAACTGACTCTGCTGTCCGAGGATGGCAAATGCAAAGCGTTCGATGCTTCAGCTAATGGTATGGTGAGGGCCGAGGCGGTAGTGGCGATATATTTACAGAAGGCGAAGGATGCGCGCAGAGTGTACGCCACGGTGGTTAACACGAAAACAAACATCGACGGCTACAAACCCGAGGGGATCGGGTATCCCAGCAGTGAAACGCAAAAGCAATTGATACATGACATCTACAATGAGGCGGGAATTAATCCTCTAGACATTAGTTACGTAGAGACCCATGGTACCGGTACCAAAGTAGGCGATCGAGAGGAAGTCAATGCCATCGATAAATTGTTCTGTAAAGGTAGGAAGAGTCCTTTGCTGATAGGCTCGGTGAAATCCAATATGGGTCATTCGGAACCGGCAAGTGGACTATGCTCCATCGCCAAAGTGCTGATCGCGATGGAAGCGGGCGTGATACCCGCGAATTTGCACTTTAAAACTCCGAATCCGAATATTCCTGGCTTAAACGAGGGACGGATTCGAGTTGTCGACAAGGCTACACCGTGGAATGGTGGCCTCGTTGGTCTTAACGCATTTGGTCTCGGCGGCACAAATGCACACGTTATCCTGCAGAGTAATACAAAACCACAATTGTTATCACCACTGAATACCGAACTGTTGCCCAAATTAGTCGCTGTATCAGGTCGAACGGAAGAAGCTGTGCACACGTTACTGAATACAGCGAAAGAGCATTGTAAAAATAACGAGTTTTTATCATTATTATACGTACTGCACAATAACGACATCCCTGGTCACAAGATTCGCGGGTACGAGATACTCAGCGTCGATAGTACACATGAAATGACCGAAGTAGCGAGCTGTGACGAAGGGCGTCCAATTTGGTTCATATTTTCCGGTATGGGTTCGCAATGGCCAGGCATGGGTCGTCAATTGTTCAGTATTGAAACTTTCCAACGTAGTTTGCGGCGATGTGCGGATGCTTTGGCACTCTACGACGTCGACCTCATGAATATCATCATGAACGCCACAGACGAAACATTTGAGAACGTGATGAATTCCTTCATGTCTATCGCGGCTATACAGGTCGCTCTCGTGGATGTTTTAACGTTGATAGGCATACATCCGGACGGCGTAGTCGGACACTCCCTTGGAGAATTGGGTTGTGCTTATGCCGACGGGGCATTTACACTGGAACAGACTGTCTTAACCGCTTATTGCAGAGGCAAGGCGCTATTAGAATCCAAGCTGAAACCAGGTGCCATGGCGGCAGTTGGTTTGAGCTGGGAGGAGGCCGAAAAAATTTGCCCGCCCGATATCACACGAGCTTGTAACAACTCCGCCAACTTAGTTACAATTTCCGGTCCGACTGATTCTATACACAAGTTCGTACAACTACTGAAGAGTAAGGATATCTTCGTTAAAATGGTAAACAGTTCCGGCTACGCCCACCACAGCAAATACATCGCACCAGTAGGGCCTAAGCTACACGCTTTGCTCGAGAAAATCATACCAAGTCCCAAGCAGAGATCGGCTAAATGGATCTCTACCTCCGTACCAGAATCCGCATGGGATAGTCCGCTCGCGCAGCTCAGCTCCGCCGAGTATTGTGTAAACAATATGATGTCACCTGTGCTTTTCAAAGAGGCGCTCGCGCATATTCCAGAAAACGCGATAACGATTGAGATCGCACCGCACGGTTTGCTACAGACAATCTTATGCAGTTCATTACCACCAACGGTGACCAATATTAGCCTTCACAAGCGGGATCATTTGGACAATCTTGCCTTCCTGCTGTCTAACGTGGGAAAATTATACATGGCCGGTGCGCAACCTAACATTGCCAAATTGTATCCGCCGATTAGTTTCCCCGTCAGTCGCGGAACACCGATGATCGGGTCCTTGGTCAGGTGGGATCACTCCGTCACGTGGGATGTGCCTGATTTCAAACAGATATCAGACCACTCGGGAGAATGTATTGTCCAAATAGACTTGTCGAATGAAATGGATACGTATCTAGCAGGACACCAGATAGACGGACGAGTACTTTTTCCATTTGCTGGTTATATTTTTGTGGTGTGGAAAACTTTGGCAAAACAGCGCGGCTGCAATTTTGAACTATTGTCAGTAGTATTTGAGAAAATGCAGTTTCATCGGGCCACCATTATCCCCAAGGAAGGACCGGTAAAATTCTCGATAACTATATTCAAAGGATCGGGCGATTTTGAGATCTGCGAGACCGATACGATCGTCGCCAGCGGAAGAGTACGCGTATCCGAAAGTATCGACAAAGATCACCTGAACTTACCACCTCCAGTTTTACCTCAAAATCAAGAGACTTTGCAATTGAATACCGAGGACGTTTACAAGCTACTGAGATTGTACGGATACGAGTATCGCGATATCTTCCAAGGAGTCAAATCTTGCGATGAAGATGGCATTGCCGGTGAACTATACTGGTTCAATCAATGGGTGCCGTACATAGACAGTATGTGTCATATAACTTTGGTGACCACCAACTCATTGCATTTAGCGTCGCATATTCAGTATGTAGCTATCAATCCTGTTCTTCATAAACAACTGGTTGAAAACTTACCAGAGAACGGTGGATTGCCAGTGTATTACTACAATGACACCAATATTATTAAATCGGGTGGTATTGAGCTCAGAAAAATTAACTTTTCGTTGGCGCCCCGGCGACAGAATCATGCTGATCTTAAATACGAGCGGTACACTTTCATACCATACGAAAGTTCGTATAGTCCAGTAGAGGATGCAATGAGAGGAAGGGTGCATGCGCTTACTGTACTTTTGCAGATTGTGTATGAAAACATAATGACGTTGAGACTGAAGACCGTGGAAGTTGCAGGCGAACGAGATGCCGAAGTTCTCTTAGCGCCGCTTATTTTCAAAATTTCCGATAACCAATTGGGCTCTCCTATCGTAAGAATACCAAATTATTTTAATAATTTGTTTGTTCGTTTGTTTTGTCCTCTATTCAGATGGAATATTTTGTTATTCGATAGTCTTAGAATTGTGTACCTACCATATCAAAGTAAAACATCAAATTCTGTTATTTGACAGACGATTTTAGAATTTAACAATCTTTCCGTCAAGTATTTTTATTTAAATAAACTGAATTGCGACAGTTCTAAGGATTGGATAAAAGATTTAGAGATAAAAGATAAAAAAGGAGGATTCCATTGTTACGTCAATACTATTTGAAACAAAATATTATGTTTTATTTACACTCACACAAGATTGAAATTGCTGTTCCCTAGTTTCTGGTACACTAGTAAAATGCGAATGTAAATTTAAAAGTAAAACGCTTTACGATCATAATCGCGTTATAATTTATTCTTATTTGTGATTATTTTTTCCAAGATTCTTCTTTAATGTTTAATTACAAAATCGCTGCGTTTCTTTCAGATTGATTTACAAATCGTCACAGTTGCTGCAGATAACTACACGGCGAGTTTGAAGCAGATGAACGTGAACGCTGACATCGTAACGCAAGATGTGAATAAGGCACTTCCCGTTGAAGACGTGCACCTTGTCATTGCGGCGGACGTTTTATCTAATCAGTCTTATACCGTTCTCAAAAACTTGGTCGCTAACTTAAAACCTGGTTGTTTTATTCTTCTGGAGGAGACCGCTGCACAACTAGATGTGGAGACCGCTTTGAAAGACACTGATCTCATCTTGGCTGGAAAACAAACAGTTTCCGTAGAAAAGACTTATTTGTTGATGAAGAAACGACAGAAACGAAGAGAACCAATGGTAATTCAAATTACAGAAAAATATCTGTCGTGGCTGGAAGATATAAAAGCAGTACTGAAAAAATGTGACAGTGTAGATCAAGAAATACTCCTTGTATCCCAGGGTGAAGAAACACTTGGTAAGATTACGGAAGAAAATTCTTAAACTTTTAACGTGTCTCTTTAATTATATGATGAACAGAAAAGAATTCATTTTTTATTCGTAGGCTTGGTCGGACTCATGACTTGTCTGCGACGCGAGTTAGGCAATGCAAATTTGCGTTATGTCTTTGTCCAGGACCAGAATACTCCTACGTTTGGCATATTCGTACAGTTTTATGTGGAGCAATTGGACAAAGGATTGATGGCAAACGTTTTGAAAGGAGGACAATGGGGCAGTTATCGACACTTGCCATTGGATCAACAGAGCAACATGTCTTCTGTGCAGGTGAAACACGCCTATGTAAACACATTGACAACAGGAGACCTCAGCAGCTTGAAATGGATTGAAAGACCCTTAAAGTACTATCGTCCCGACAATTTTCCTAATATGAAACTTTGTTACGTTTACTATGCTCCACTGAGCTCCAGGTAAGTGCCAATATTACTTACTGATATTGAGATAATGATCAAAGGCGTGACACGTGAATAAATTATGTGCACGACAGGGATATCATATTGGCGAGTGGAAAGATGTCCCTGGATATTCTACCGAGGAATATAGCTACGGAAGAATGTATATTGGGACGGGGATTTTCGGGGAGAGACGCTGACGGTCGTCGCGTGATGGGTATAGTCGAAGTTGGAGGACTGGCGACTACAGTGGTTGCAGATCTCGATTTCCTTTGGGAAGTACCCGACAAGTGGACGTTGGAACAAGCAGCAACGATACCTATCGCTTACGCGACTAGTTACTATGCTTTGTTTATACGAGGTCAATTGACAGCAGGCGAAAGCATATTAGTTCACGCTGGTACAAGCGGCGTCGGTCAAGCAGCGATTGCCATTGCTCTGCACGCTGGTTGTACCGTCTTCACTACCGTTAACACGTTGGATAAAAGAACATATCTCAAGAGAATCTTTCCGCAGTTGAACGACAAGCACATTGGCACTTCTCGAGATACCAGTTTCGAACAGCTCATAGATGTTGAGACTCAAGGACGTGGAGTGGATGTCGTGTTGAATTCACTGACAGATGAGAAATTTGAAGCTGGCATTCGGTGCCTGGCGTTCGGTGGCCGTTTCCTTGACATCAGCATGTATGATTTGTCGAAAGACAGCCGCATGAGCGTGTCAACGTTTGTAAAATATACTTACCATAGTATATTGTTGGATATGGTATTTCAAGAAAATAACGCGCAAAAGAATAAACTGGTAAAATTTTTCTCGGAGGGGATAAAAAATTGCGCGATACGTCCGCTCCAATCGACTGTGTTTTCGGAGCAACAGCTCGAGCAAGCATTCAGATTTATGGCGGCACGCAAGCATATTGACAAAGTGCTGTTGAAACTTCGTGCTGAAGAATCAAAGAAATATGTATCACCAATGCCAAAGACAGTGGCCGCGATCTCACATACTTACATGAATCCGGATAAATCGTATATCTTGGTCGGCGGTCTCGGCGGATTCGGTTTAGAACTGACAAATTGGATGATCGTCCGCGGCGCCAAAGTTATTGTTCTCGTATCACGCTCAGGCATTCGCACTGGTTACCAGGCAATGTGCGTGCGTCGCTGGCGCAAAATCGGTGTAAACATCGTAGTCTCCACAGTGGATGTGGCGACATTATCGGGTGCCGAAGACTTAATTCAAGAAAGCAACCGGCTGGCTCCGGTAGGCGGTATATTCAATCTGGCAGTTGTACTCCGCGATGCTCTGATCGGAAACCAGACGGAGGTTGATTTCAAAGCGGTCATGTTGCCAAAAGTCGATATTACAAGGAATTTAGATGCTGTATCCAGGAAGCTTTGCCCATCGCTAGATTACTTTGTGGTATTCTCATCCACATCGTGCGGTTACGGCAATATTGGTCAAACCAATTACGGTTTCGCGAATTCAACCATGGAGAGACTAATGGAACGGAGACAGGCTAATGGTTTACCCGGTCTGGCCGTTCAATGGGGTTCCTTCAAAGAGGTCGGCATCTCAGGTAATACATCAAGTGTTTGAGTGAAGACCTGAATCGAAGGATCGAAACTTTTCAATTTATATTTTCTTTGGTTTCGTAAACTCAATCTTGACTGACGTCTTAATTCTGTACTTCTAAACTTCTAAACACGATTATGTATAAGGCACTAGGACTAACATATTGTTAAGTTTATCGTATTCATACTTTGCATAAAGTTGTTCTAGATTTACTGTACGAATACTTTGTATGTTTCATGATCGTAGTTCCTCTTTTGATTTTGTTATGTTTTCAGAAACAATGACAGATAACGACATCGAGATATGCGGTATTCTACGACAAGGTATATCAAGTTGTCTTGCGACAATGGATATATTTCTTCAACAACCGCATCCCGTGTTAACTTCTATTGTGTTGGCTGAGAAATATAAATCCGACAACGATAACAAGACCGACCTCGTCACAACCATTGCTGCTATCCTAGGCATTAAAGATGTTAATTTGATTAATCCTAACAGTCAGTTAGTCGACGCGGGAATGGACTCGTTAATGGAAATGGAAATAAAACAGACTCTCGAGAGGAACTATGCTATCCTATTGTCGTATCAAGAGATCCGTTTATTAAACTTCGCCAAACTGCAAGAATTATCTTCGACCAGTAGTGATAAGGTTGAAAAGTTAAAATAATTATCTTTTTATTCCCCTTGTTTTATTATACTTGTTCACCATTGTCGATGTTATTTTTTTATAGAATTTGTTGCAGCACAATTATTAATATTAGTTTAAAATTAGATAATCAGTTTAAAATTATTTAATATAGGGTGGACGAGGTATTGACTTCACGTGATTTATTCACTCGGAGGAGTGTTACCTGCTTAGATCTATTCTTCTTTCGATTCATTTATCAAATTCGCGCAGTACAGTACAGTTACAGAAATGCGGTTTAATATAATTGCACTTTACGTATAGAATACTCCCGAAGGTAACTGTTTTAGAGGTTCTACTATATTGCGACTAAGATCATAAATCGTGCGAAAGTACACGATGCGATCAAAATTCGGAAAACTCTCTTCGGGCAACACTACATTTGATGGTTGGTTTTATTAATTAATTATGTGTAGTTAGTATAAGTTCGACTTAATCTTGCATAGTATTGTACGAAGTTGTTGACATATTCAAACATTTTATCGTTGACATATCAAACATATTAAAACGTAACGTAGCAGACACGGTATAAATCAAAGTGAATATGAATTATGAGATATGGAATAAATCATTATCACAGCTCTTTCTAATTTTCATTTAAAATCAAGAATAGTGAAATTTTTTAGGAAAGTATCACAAAAATTATAGCTTTGACGAAATAGATATTGTAGATTGTCAAAACAAAAACACGTATAAAATTATACATACAATGTAAGAGCAGTATTATATGTTATGATCTACACGGGGAGAGAATTTTCTCTTATAATTTATCCTGAAAACCATGTAATAGTGGGACAACATGGCATTGTCAAGAAATTTATGCGAATTTTTGGAAATTTTACCATACATATTATTAGTAATTATTCTTACAAAGGAACGGTCGGAAGTGTCCCTCACCGATTTCAATGCGCTTCGGAAAAGTATTAGACCCGTATTTTTTTATCTGCCATTCTCGACGTTTATATAAATTTTGTTAGATGGTAATGGTATAATAAAGTATGCATAAATGCATTTGATGAATAAATACGCATATATGGTTGTATTACGAATTCCTTTAAACTGGCCATCGTGTCTGAGAATGACTGCTAAAACGTTGGTTAACTGCTAACCGAAGGTTAATTTATTCTCTGTCTCTTTTGAGATAATAAGATAGAAAAAGATAGGGAGTTGACTGAACTTAACCAACGTTTGTGAAACTGGCCCTTAGTAAGCTAACTAATACCCACATAGAAACAAAACTTCTAATGGACGTCCATTATACGTTTGTCATGGAGATTAACACCTTCCAGTAGACGTCTATTAGATGACCAATGAAGGACAATGAGAAATCCATAGTTCCGCATTGCGGACCTATGGATTTCTCCATTGGACCTCCATTATACATCTTTAAAGATGTCCATTAGACGTTCCGTGGATCATTGACATACGGTGCGTGGAGTCTCGATGGACGCCCCAGCTAACAAGGTGGCGTCAAAATGACGTACATTTAATAAAGAAAAAAAATGAATGAACAAATTCCGGACTTTAAAAATTATAAAATATTAACATCATTTTCGCGGCTGGGTGTGAATAACGGTAAGGTCGCGGTCACCCATCCAAGTTTTAACCACACTCAACGTTGCTTAACCTCGATGATCGGATGGGATAGCGGTGATCCTTCGGCTCTGACAATTCTTCCTTGCTATTTGTGCAACATAATTATACACATACTTGCGTGTGCGTGTGCGTGTGTGTGTACATAACATGTTTTTATTAAATGTTAAAAATTATTTTTAAACGTATCCCACACAGCATACCTACTTTATTTGAGATATACTGAGAAATTCTAAATTGTCCCAGACTTTTAAGTATATTTTTCTTGAAAGATTTGTAATCGCAGTATTTGACATTTCGATTACAAACATTGTTGTATAAATACTATGTTCAAAATCAATCTGAATTATAATTATTTAATCAGATTATATTATAGCAAGACAACGTCGAAATGACGTGACAAATACGTAATTTTGATGACGATAACGTCATGTGACTTAAATGGTACGTAATTTTGACGTCATTTTAAATACTAAAATAGTACGTCATTACTGTTACGTCAAAAAGACGTACCATTAACGCCGAAGATATAAATGTATTTTGGATGCTCAAATAATGACATGGCATTGTTCGCGCGTTGCATATTTTGACAAGATTTTCAATTTCTTAATTATTTT